CTAAGTGTCACCCTAACCCCTCAACCCTAAACGTACGAGCTGCAATCTCCAGCTGCAGGGAGTCCAAAGCGTCCCAACTGGATCCGACGAATCCAGCCATGGCTCGGAAAGGTGACCCTAAGGGCTTTAGGGTTAAAGGTTGAGGGAGGGTTTTAGGGATTAGGGTTTAGGGCTTAGGGTTTGAGGGTTTAGGGTTGAGGGTTCAGGGTACCAGAATAGTAAGGCTACAGATACGAGAGTGTGGTATTTGGGCATAACACTTACTTGGACTTTCCAAGGGCGAGATCTAACCCGAGTTCTCGTGACATTTTTGAAACCACTGACTCTCGAATAGACTCAGGAGAATTCACAAGACTGGGGAGCCGTCTGAATTAGTCGCGACATGCGAACCGTTGAGCTCTATCGCCTCTTCGAGATGCATTGCGAAAGCTTGCTTGCACTGTAACTTCAAATTAAAAGGTGCGTGAAGTGCATGTATTAAATCATGCGTGCGCAGTATCCCGTACATGTTCCTGCGGCCCGAATGCCACGCGCATGTCATTGCAAACTGATGTTCCCACCAGGGCACATGCCACTCTGCAGCAACTTTCCGAGACCTAGGAAGAAAGATGAACCCGATCTCAACTTTGTGTGTCCAAGGATGTCAAGATCCAGGTTCTCTTCTTCCGAAATCTTAGCATGTCGTTCTATGTATACAGGCTTAGGGAAGCAACTCGTCAACAAAGACAACGGATGAGCACCCGAGCGTAGTTGCTGAGTTCACACAGGTCCAAAAAGGCAAAAAACAAATATAAGTAGGTGATAATATTATACCAAAAAGTGCAAACTGTACTCATTCGGCTACTAACTGAGTCTGTGAAGAAGGTTTACCGTGTGTGTGTGTGTGTCTGTGCGTGTGTGTGTGTGTGTGTGTGTGTGTGTGTGTGTGTGTGTGTGTTTGTGTGTGTGTGTAGGTGTGTGTGTGTGTGTTTGTGTGTGTGTGCGTTGCGCTTTGTGAGCTAAAGTTCTAGCAGGGGAGACAAAGACGGTTCATGAGAAAGCAAAGGTACAGGCAAAGGTTGTCGTAGGAATCCCACAAAGACAACTCAGAAAAGAACGCGTAGAGTATAGTGTGTTTTGAAGTAGTCATGGCGCACCTGCCCTGCAGACTGAAGCTCCCCCTCCCTCCCCCGCAAAAAAGCCCGAAGCCTCGAGGATCGTTGAAAGCTCTAAACCCTAAACCCCAAACCCCAAACCCTAAACCTTTTTTCCGCAGGGTGAATAGACAGTGCATGGGTATAAACCTCTGATGCACCGAGCTCTGCAGGTGTGGAATGTATTGGATTCCAACGAAGAGCTGGGCCGTGGTCTTTCTCATAGCTGGAAAAGTTAGTTGGGGTTTCGGGTCATATTCTGCTAGGTCATGTTGCCTTATGCTATATTATGTATGTCATGCTATGCTGCACTGTGCTGTTATGTTGTCTGGCATTATGCTATACTATGTTGGGTCGAATTATGTTATATCGTATCATTCGGGCCTCCTGTGCAGTTTGGGGTTAAGGGCTCTCATTGGCTGGAGCACGGCCTGATGGCTGTGATGACGACACATCTGAAACCCGGACACATGTCACTCACGCTGCGGTTTGGCTATTCCCCGGCTATTGATTTCCTTCTTGTCCATGAAGTGTTTGCAGGGACTGATTGAAATGACAGTAACCCCATGACAGTTTCTGTATTTTGGACTATACATACATCTCCTCGTTTCTGCTGGAAACTTCGGTGCATGTGTAGACATGCACGCAGCTGAAGCACGGATAAAGCCGACGATCGGGCTGTCGGGAGTCTCCAATGCACGATCACCTCCTGCGCTTGGATGGCAGCCGAAAGGCTGCACAGCCTACAGTAATGCAGCAATGATTCGGGTCTGAAGCCAGCGCTGCGGTGAGGAGCAACAAACACAAGTCGAGCAGCGTATGTATCTGTCCATCGAAGAAAGGTATCTTTCCTAACTACTTCTGCCAGAACATGTCCAGCAGTTCCAAAGATGTTTAACTTCGGGGAATATGACGATGGTCTTGGACATTGTTCCCCAAACAATCAGAAATACTATGCAGTTGGTAGGTTAAGTAGACATGTAGATCAGGCTTTGCAGGTGATGGCATATGATGAGTGCTAGGCAGGCACATGCGGCGGTCCCGCGACTGGAATATTCTGCTTTGCAAATCGCGCTCCCGCCGCAATGCCGTGCGTATCTTTGTATCTTTGGACCGGAGTGTTTTGGGATGATATGCGTTTCAATTGTGTGAAGTCTCTCAAGTTGTGGCAAGGCCACAGCATTCGGCCTCTTTCGGGCTCATCGGCGTGGTCTCGAAATCCTGTCGTACTCTAAAACAGCTGTTGCGGATGTTTCAAAGTTCGCTGTCGTGTTCGCATCACGGTGCCTTGCCTTTGGAAGGGGCTTCCGAATTAGTTTAGGTATTTTTTTTTTTTTTACGGTATTTTTTGTTTTTCTCTGTTTCACGCAAA